TGTATATTCCGATGTAAATCATGCTCATTAATGCGACATTATATGATTTTAAGATGTTTTGAACTAGGAAAATCATCGTTGATTGGGTACACTTTTAGAGATAAATTGAACATGAAAATCGTAGGTAGCAGTAAAATAATTCTATTAATAAGCGATCGATTTTTAATTTTAATGGAGTGTAGGATTTTAATATTCTAGAGGTTTTTTTCTTAAAAAAACAGTGCCATCAGCTTTGCCCTTCGACAAGCATTACATAACACTACGAATATTGCAAGGTTATTGAAAAAATAAACGATTAAACCAGTATTCAACATTTTGCGTAAAAAAACTTTGTTGAAAACTCATCGTAATGAAATTGAAAATTTTAAAATAGTTTTTTCTTCATTAATACTGTGAACAACCTAAACAGTCCCAGAACAATTAGGTCTGTTCTTTGTATTACTCTGATCAGAGCAGATGATTTTATAGATCAAGTTATTCTGACAGATGATAGAATTTAGAAACAGGAGAAACGAGATCGGCATTATTAAAGTGCAAATAAATGAACAACCATTATGATGAGGCGTTTACCAAGCAAGTAGGTGAGTGGTTGATCCAATCACAATCAGTGTTGGTCAAAGTGGTACGTATGGTTTATGCATATTTGGAAGGCTATAAAATTGATGTGTTTTTGAGTTAGGTACTCAAAATGAGATCACTGTGTAGTTCCTTCTTCTTCCTCAGCTGTCTTGATCGAGTTCTTTTTGATCTCACACATAGAGACCTCTATTAAATTCACCACCACATTCATAGTGTCATTGGTATGTACATAGACATAAAAATAGGTATAGAAAGAACAAGGACGAAACACCGTATTGTTTTACTTGATTTTAGAAACATGAAGAAAATATACTCCTTAAAATTATTGACATTAACTTTTATCTATGTTCTCTAGGATCCATGTGACAAAGTATGAGACGTCCGTATAAACAGCTACACCCTTTCCACACATTGTCAGTCCGTACGAGACAAGTGCTACTAAGTAATGCCTTCTTTCTCCATCCACCTTCATGGACATGGACGCTGGCCCACCAGAATCTCCCCCGCACGAGTCCTTCCCTGAAAATATTATTCTAATTATCAAAATTTTACACTGACAAGGACAAAATATTTTAAATTACGCACCTGGATATTTCGTCACTGGAGCCACCAATCCGAAAACAACCCTTACGATAGTTGTTGGGATCTTCAATTTGACCTTGGCAATGCCGTTCAAGGTCATTTGAAGGTAAAATCTAATTTTCTAAATATGAACCTCTAATTTTGAACCCGAATTCGGAAAAAGCGCAAAATTGTACGTTTAGACAGGTAATTAAGACCCTTATTTGGAGTAACCTTCAAATGTTATTTCAAGGACAAAATATTTTAAATTACGCACCTGGATATTTCGTCACTGGAGCCACCAATCCGAAAACAACCCTTACGACAGTTGTTGGGATCTTCAATTTGACCTTGGCAATGCCGTTTAAGGTCAGTTGAAGGTTAAATCTAATTTTTTAAAAATGAACCTCTAATTTTGAACCCGAATTCGGAAAAAGCGCAAAATTGTACGTTTAGACAGGTAATTAAGACCCTTATTTGGAGTAACCTTCAAATGTTATTTCAAGGACAAAATATTTTAAATTACGCACCTGAGTATTCGGGGGAGCCACCAATCCGAAAACAACCCTTACAAAAGTTGTTGGGGTTATCGGATGGCGTCCTTCCAATTTGACCTTGACGAAGAAGAGCCTTAAGTACCTATCTAAACGTAAAATTTTACGCTTTCTCTGAATCCGGAGTAAAAATTAGAGATTCCTATTAAAAAAATTAGATTTGATCTTCAAATGGCTTTGAAGGTCAATGTCAAGGTCAAATTGAAGGTTACCATTCGATATCTCCCTTCGAACCCAACAATTTTCGAATTGGTGGTTTCTCTGTGTAATTTAAAGTTGAGACACCCTGTATATCTCAGGAATTCACCTACCTCCTTCTGTAAATCCAATACAAAGCTGGCTGTCCGCCAGACGATGCGGATACATTGCATTACATTCCTTTTCGTCCGCTATAGGGATAACTACATACATCAGTTTAGTGGCACTTGAGTAAGTTTTAANAGTTGTTGGGATCTTCAATTTGACCTTGGCAATGCCGTTCAAGGTCATTTGAAGGTAAAATCTAATTTTCTAAATATGAACCTCTAATTTTGAACCCGAATTCGGAAAAAGCGCAAAATTTTACGTTTAGACAGGTAATTAAGACCCTTATTTGGAGTGACCTTCAAAGGTTATTTCAAGGACAAAATACTTTAAATTACGCACCTGGATATTTCGTCACTGGAGCCACCAATCCGAAAACAACCCTTACGACAGTCGTTGGGATCTTCAATTTGACCTTGGCAATGACGTTCAAGGTCATTTGAAGGTTAAATCTAATTTTTTAAATATGAACCTCTAATTTTGAACCCGAATTCGGAAAGAGCGCTAAATTGTGCGTTTAGACAGGTATTTAAGGCCCTTATTTGGGATGACCTTCAAAGGTTATTTCAAGGACAAAATATTTTAAATTACGCACCTGAGTATTCGGGGGAGCCAATCCGAAAATAACCCTTACAAAAGTTGTTGGGGATATCGGATGGCGTACTTCCAATTTGACCTTGACGAAGAAGAGCCTTAAGTACCTATCTAAACGTAAAATTTTACGCTCTCTCTGAATCCGGAGTAAAAATTAGAGATTCATATTAAAAAAATTATATTTTATCTTCAAATGGCTTTGAAGGTCAATGTCAAGGTCAAATTGAAGGTTACCATTCGATATCCCCCTCCGAACCCAACAATTTTCGGATTGGTGGCTAAAGTGGCGCAATTTAAAGTTGGGACACCCTGTATATCTCAGGAATTCAC